TTATATGTCAATTTGTAAACGATGAGAGAACATAGTTATCTAACAAATCAATTTTAATATTAGACTATATTTAGTGAATAGATTATACTGAGTGATGACAAAGTTTTATGCGTACATTTTCGTAAAAATGTCTCGTTCAGTCAAAGCTATAAGACAATCGTCTGGCCTAGGCTTGGTTTTTCTCACATGGCAATGATCTAAATGGAAATTTAGTTGAATAAGTATAACGGTCGTTTAGAAACAGATAGTCTAATATTTACCCATTACCCTCGTACGCTACGCAGTAGCTTCCACAATTCATTTTTGAGAGGTTTCGGTATTTATCGGAATATTCTCATAAAATTCTATTGTATATATATATTATTGTCAAACGGAATATGTTAGTTTAATAAACTTTTCGTACAATATTCGCTACTTATAGTAAAAGTTGTATAACTTACTAAAGTCGATATAGGAGGACTCGTCCATACAGTCCAAAATGCTCCAATCTATCGCATTGCCTTCATTCTCTGACTCGAACAATTTCAACGGTTGTTGCATTGAATCCTCTTTTGGTGCAGGCTTCTGCTCTAAAAGGAAATCTACATTTCGAGGATAGAACATCAAAATTATATGTAGAAACAATTAAACAATGTATTTTTTGAAAAACAAGGATTATGAAACCATTGAACTCTCTGAATCTCAAATTAAACATTACAGTGAGTATTAATTATCAGTTCCTGAATGAAGTTCAGTCATCAATGAAAAGATTCTATAGTGTTCAGTACTTAATAAATCACTATTGTTTTTAGATGCCGTTCTTATATACAGGTATCTTCTTCAAGAAAACAACTAATAACATTACTTGGAAAACACTTCTTCAATCTGCTTTTGCATAATCCTCTCGAAATATAAATAAGAAAGAAGTTCTGATATAGTTTCTAATTTAAATACTTCAACGTTCTTTTTAAATCGTGTTTCATAAAATTTCCATGACTTACCAGATGCTGAGTATGAAGTTGCTGGTGTATAATCACCGAATATGTCTAACCCATGATCATCGTCTTCATCGTCAGATTCCAGCTGTACTTTCGACGATCGCTCTTCGTGTGGAAGCATTTTTTCTTAAAGAAAAATACAGAATATTGAAAACAGAAGTGAAACTAAATAATCTATAGATTTTTGTGAAAAACAAAGTGTGACAAGAATATTTGTTTCCTTACAGAAGGATTCAAATTTTTGATTTCCAAATTAAATACCAAAGCATAGTTTCAAGTTCCTGAGGGAAATCAATATATTTAGGTTCAATCATTGGCATTAAATATTCTATAATTAAATACTCTCTAGATTGACTTTTTGAGATAACGTTTTTATATTCGAATATGAACTTGAACGAAAAAGCTATTGTCGCAATAATCAAAAGAAGATTATTTCATTCAATATATATCCTGACATACATGTCTTCATCCTTCTTTTACTAAATGTTCGTGAGACGCATTACGAAAGCAGTGAGTCCAAATGTCCACTATATATACTTTAAAGTTCCTTTTAGATCGTATTTCATAACACTTGCATAACTTACGAGGTGCCGAGTAGGAAGCTGTTGACATACCATCATCGAAATAGTCGAAACCCATCATATCATAGTCTTCATCCTTGGGATATGATTTTGCTGCAGACGAACACTTTCTCGGTGTCTCTTAAAGAAAAAATACAGAATATTTAAATCAGAAGTAAAATTAAATAATCTATAGACTTTTTGAAAAATAAAATGTGTCAAAAGTATTTGCGTCTTTACTGCAAGATCAAACTCTTATTCTCAAATTAAGCATCACCGTATGAATATAAGTTTTTGAATGAAATCAGAATATTGAGGCTCAGTCACTTTTTTTTCGAGATACTATTTTTGATGATGCAAAGAAATAATACTTTAGAAAAACAGCATAAGATATTTTCACAATTTCTAAACGGTTGAATAGAATTGACGGATCTAGATGAATACTGACTGTTATATAATTTAGGACTTTTTTAACGGTGACTGAAAACTTGACTTTTCTGATTTATATTTTATCTTAAGATTTGAGACAAAAGTTTCTGAGTCAGCATCGTAAATCAAAGTAAAAAAATATAACTTTGTCGAAAACGATATTCAGAGAATATTTTAAGATTTTAAGTCGAAATGAAAGTTACTTTCTCAAGACATAAAATTTGACTTTCGTAGGGAATCGCTAGCTTTTTGGTAATTCAGTATGTCAATTTAAAAACGTTCATTTCGACTGAAACTTGCAGAATGTTCAAAGAAACATCCAGTGTATCTACGAACAAAACCTAAAGTCAAAATTTTTCAGTTTGATATCTCGATGAATATCCCAAAATCAATAGTGAAATTCAGACAAAATGACCATAACCTTGATATTTTTGTATTCCATTTCAACTATGACCTTGGTATATTACTTCAAATTTTGATCGTTATTTCAATCAAGATTTGCTTATTTACGAATATATTTTCTATGGTTCACCAATAATGTTTTTCTTGGAAATTCTATCTCGAATATTATATTTATTTTATATGAAAACAAATTCGTGATATGTCTAAAGATGTCACAAAAGCGATTTCTCTTTTCTAGAGCGAAAATCATTTGTTTTCTATAAAAAAAAAGGATTGTTGTGTAGTGTCTTCTTTGCAAATATGTATATTGAGTATTTATAGAAATATCAGTTCAACCGACTTGATTGTTTCGAAAATCTTTTCATTTAGTAGAAAGAAGCCTTAAAGAAACCAGATTTTCGCCATCGGTATGGTCATGAATGATAATTTTTGTTTTTCTGTATCTGCCCACGCCCTTAACTTTTGTTATGTGTAGTAATTGATACGTTATTTTTACTTATTATTACTGGTTCAAGTACTAGTGATGACGATGATGATGATGATGATGATGATAATGATGATGGTGTAGAGGGTACGTCAGAGGCATTTGGCACTTCACCCAACTAAAAAAATAAATATTCGATTTCGTTGTCAATCCTACATAGAACAGTAGATTGACGTACCGACGCCATTATATTTCTCATCTTTTCCAGTCGTTGAGTTTTTGTTAATCCGTTGAAGTGAAGTTTGTAGCAAGCATATTCTATAAAAATGAAATATCAACATTCCTTTGGAAAAGATGATCGCATCGTTTTTGTTTTCTCAATTAATAGATGTATTGGGTTAGAGGTAGTTAAATCAAGTCATAAATCTTTTTCAAAAAAGTTATAATACTATAAATACTCAAACCATTGATTTTTTTTTAAATGAAACAATCGTTCTATAATGATAAAATATATTTCTACTAAATGAATTAAACATATTCTCATATATGATTTAACATCAAGATAGATTTCTACCCGAAGATTAATACATCCATTTGCGAATATATTATGAATTTTTTTATGGTTTCCTGGGTTCATGTTGATTAAAATAACACTAACAGCTTTACTTTATTTATACGTCGAATCCAAAAGTTGAAATTTCATGATAGAAATCGAACTTTGTCTCTCTAATTGACTTACATCATTCGATTATCAGAACTAGTTAACATCTCTTTTATTCAATCCAAAAACGAATTCCTATTTATTCTTCAATTCAATATGAAAGTCAAATCACTCATTGAACAATCATATGTTCATACGAAACAATACTTTATTCTATCATATCGGAGTATTTTTTAAAACCTTACTACCTCATAACGAAATCTTCGATAAATATTGGAATAGTCCTACCGAAAATAAGCAGTTGCCAAATACAGATAGTAGGCTTTAACTTCAAGTCAAAGATAAAATTAGACAAAGGAAGCAAAGCTTAAAATTTGTTCATTGTTTTGGTAGTAAATAAAGTGTCTCCACTTACTACTTGACTTACCATTGAAGTCGCCTAATGATTCACTGCAAACAAAAAAACAAACGTGAAATTTTTATTCTCAATATTTCCTCCATTTTCTTTTGCATACTCTTCATCACTTGTGATTATCAAATTGTTAGCTTGGCATTGTTGTTGTAATGCTCGTCGTTCTTCTGTCGTTGCACTAATCATTTCAGTCTTAAGATCTATTTATTTTTCAAAAATCAACATGTATGAACGTTTATTTATTAATGAATAACGTACTCTTTTGCATTTTATTTTCGATTTCATTTGCTTTTTCATGCTCATTCAATACATAACGATATGTGCGTATGATACTCATCATCATATCAAATTTCGCATCGCCACCTGCCCGATAGGAAATTTTTTCACAAAGTTTTTCAATATCAACTACGGATTCTTTTTTGTTTTGAATCGATGCACTTTCGAGTGTAATACGTGCTTCGATTAATTTCTGTTTGATTGTATCCAAAGTTGATATATCGCCATCCCATCCAATGTATGGTAATAAGTCAACATCTCGATCGAGCATAACATCAAGAAGACGAACACCTATAATAGAAAGTACATTGTCGACTATTTTTTTAATAGTAATAGGCATTAGTAAAAAAGAATCAAATTTTTTCTTCGAAAGTTTTTGAAGAGTTAAAACTTTAAGAAACGAACTATTAATAGAATAAAACAATAATGCTTATGATTATCGATAGCAATTAATTACATTCTATTTAACTTTCTACTAACCTGGTTGAAGAGTTTTTGCATCTGTTTTAGTATCACGTTCTTCGATAGCAACGAAACTAGTGTATGCACTAACGACTGAATGTTTGATGCTTAGATCAATGAGATCTTGTTTATATTGAACTTTCATCAGTTCGTTTTCACTTTCATCTATATGCAATAGCCCATTGTCATAATCATCGATAATGGCTCGAGCGGTTAAACAGTGTAGGATACGTCCTTTCGTCGTTGTCGTTGCACTACTAAATACAGTGGTAACATATTCTTGTCCATCGATAGTAGCTGTTAATATGGCCTTATGACAATTTTGTATAAATCGATAGACACTAAGTCGCATTCCATTAAACAGTGATCGAATTATTTTTGGTGCTTGCATATTAAATTTTTGTTGTTCATCAAAACGACCATGCCAATCAATTGATATACTTGTAACACATGGTTGTCGAACTTGTTCGAGAATATTTAATACTTTTGTTTTCCATTTCGATCGATAATTCGAATCGAATACGATTGTTAGACCACCTCCACTTGCTCCATTTGCTAATTGTTTCAAACTATGTTTGTTACCAACATTACCAATTGAACATGCAAATATACGATCTCGACGCATAGTTGATTGATGTTCGAGTAAAACAAGAATCGATTGAAGATCATGAATATGTCCATCAGAGAGAATAATAAATTGTCGACCAAAATTTGATGATGGTAACAATGAATAACGGTGAAGAACAGCAAATAGATTCGTGTTACCACGATGAACAAGTGAATGCTACAATATGTAAACACATAAATTTTTGAAAGAAAAAATTGCATTCAAAATAAACAACCAACCAAAACAAAGTGTTTAGCTTTATCAAGATTTTCTTTTGTAGTTGATGTTGAAATAGGAAAACATTCATCATTATCTAAATAGTTCAAATGTGAACAATAAAATAGTACTACAGATGATCATCTAATTACCTGATCCAAACGTCACTATATTAAAATATGTATTTATGTCGCCTGCTTTCAAATTCGTAAGAAACAAATGTGCTAACTGTTTAGCTTGTTGTACATGTGTACCATCCATCGAATTCGACACATCAACAATGAATATAATTTCAATATGTTCGTACGAATTTGTTAATGTTTCGAATCGTGGATAAAATGTCAGCATACATGCTTGAGAATCAACATTGTTCGATGTTGTCGTTGTTGTTTCGCTGTCACCATCCAATGATAATGTTTCGTTTAATATTCGAGGTAGATTAGCACTTTTGAGTGTTATCGAAAGAACGAAATCTCGATCAATTAAAACGTTATCAACAAGTTCGATCATGGCTATACAGTCGGTTAATTTTCGACGAAGACGATGTGTTGGCGAGAATAATTTAGTTATTTCATAGGGCATTCGAATCGATGCCTTAAAACTAAATTCGACTTTTTCATCTATAATATCGATGGTTCGTACAATCGATTGATCTTTGCTTTCAATCGCTTGTTTTGATTGCCATGAAGCCATTTTGGCTGGAAGGCGAAAAATAATATCACCATTTTCGATTTCTAATTCAGCAACATAAGTTATCTTGATAATGACTTCATTGTTCGCTGGTAAATTGCCAACAGCTACACTGAATACTTGAGCTTGTTCTTGATGCATTAAATAAGCACCATGACCCTTTTCAATTGCTTCTCGATATTCTTTTTTAGCTTGTTCTTTCTCCTTGACGATGCCCTTTATAATTTTATTGTTAATATGTGCTTCAAAACCACATACAGTTGAATTATCATCAAGAGGAAATACATATTTGGCTTCAATTGGTGTCGAACTTGTATTATGATAGACTTGATAAAGAACAACCTTTTCGTTGAAAAGACAATAGGATGAACTATGTAGTATGATATCAACAGAAAGATAAGTATAATTACTTCAACTGTAGCATCAACAATTTGAGCACGAATATGAAATGATTTAAGTGGTACAAGTTTTCCTGACGAAGGACATATTAAACCATAGTCTTGTTCAGCTACTTCAATGACTTCATCATCGATTGTCAACGGCACTTCGACTAGAACGTAACAGATAAATTGATCTAATTTTTTATTTTAACAAAAAATGGAAATTATCATTACCATGTTCACTCAATTTTAATGTATGTTGTTGATGATGAACAATCGGTAATCGTTCTAATTCAATATTGAGAGCATCATTTGGTACCCATGAAACTTCCACAATGTAGAGTAGACGTTGTTGATCAAGTTGATAGATTGCATATTCGTTATCCTATTTTGATAAAGATTAAATTTTTGTATGGCGTGATTAAAGATGTTCGAAATAGTATGGTCCTCAATGTTAAGTCTTCATTTGGTCTCTGATGAATTTCAATTAGAGTTTCAAATCCATCATATTAGCCATGAAAGAAAACTGACAGAGACCTAATTGAGACACATTATCGAAGATTCTCGATTTCACATTATGTATAAGTCTGATAATTTCTATGTTTTTTTTCTTCAACTCAATGTTTGTGACTTGAGAAAGAGCTGCACTTTTTTACATAGACATACATTGCTCGGCTTTGGTTCTATTTCTCACTTGAACAGGATGTTTTGACCACTTTTGTCTTCTCAAATACAAGAAGACAGTTGAAACTCTTGTTTTCTAGAATGACGTGTTACACATATTAGAAGACTGAGAGTTTTCTGTTTTATCTCTGAGAAAAATATTTTTGCGATATGACCAGCGATGGTCATCACTATCACGCTGACATTTGTTTGATTAATTGTACTTGTACGTTATCTACGTCAAGAAATTGTTAAATAAACGAAGGATACTATGCAAGCTCTGGTAAAAAATTCCGACATGAAGGTAATTTTGTAGAGTTGAAACAATAGCTAGTTTCTTCACAGCTGACTTAACTACTTTGAAAACTACAAAACACTTGATAAATTTTTTTAGAATTTGTCATCATGTTGTAGCATACATAGAGAATACAATGATCTATTTTCTTTCTATCTAACACAAAAATTTTACGAAATGAATAGCATTACTTTGTCTCCTTTTCTTGAGAGAAGCAATTTCTCAATTCCTTTTTTCTTTCGTTCATGTCATGATTAGAAACAAAGAATATGTCCTTAATTTCTATTTGTTTTTAATGCTTCGTCAATATTTTGTTATTGACACGAAACGATTAGATGATATAGTTTTTTCTTGTTTGCTTGATTTCAATAACGAAAATTCTGTGAAAGAGAAAGAAAAGATCGAATTATATACAAATTATTGTTTGATTAAGCTTTTTCACTTTATCTGATAGGACTTCGAAACGGACAAAACATTCAGACTGTCTTTTGTATCTGGAAAATGTCTAAACTGCAGATCCACTTCAAGATCCAAATGTCTTTTTCGTGATCTCATCCGAGTCGAACACTATCAGACAGTGTCCTCTGTTGCTGCTGCACATTTTTCTATTACTCAGCGATGTAGTTATGATCATCTTGACAGAACACAAACTACTTACAGTAAACATTGAATGATTTTCCTCCGTTCGCTTAACACCATGGGCACTATGAAAACCATTGGGAGGTTTAGTAAGAGTCGGCGAAAATGAATAATAATTAGCCGATTCGCCTAGTGCTACTTGACAGATGCACAATAATCTTCGACCTGGTCGTGTTGTACTTGCTGTTGTATATTTCAGAGATGTAGAAGCAGAATCAGAAAAATAAATCCCATAACCGAGACAACCAATATCAGTACGTACGACACCTAATTCTTCAACAACCATTTTTGGCATAGCCAAACCACTGAAAGTATATGATCGTACTATAAATGCTGTCTAGAGAATGAAGAAATAATATTTTACCGTGACAGAATTCCAAGAAAATTAGCATATTTCGATCCATGAAATAGTTGCCGTTGATGAGATAGTGATGTACAATAATTGAGTGCATCTGTTTGTTTGGCTACACTGAAGACATGGTGAATAATAATTTTTTCATCACTAGTAAGTCCAAACCAAATTATCATTATGAAATCGAACTTCAATTCTTATTACCTGTCCGTTGACGATTGAATGAGATCAGCAACATTCTTAAATTCAGATTTTGAACTATCTACCGCTTCAATGTGACATTTTAATGCTCGATATTTAGCTTCAATCGGTGCTTTAACATTCCAATTAGTTAGTTCGTTGACTGTTAGCATATCTCGAAGCATCTGAATGATAAAGAAGATTAAATGAAATATTTGAATGAAATAGACATACTTGGCATAAATCTATCTTGTCGGTCAATGTTCGACGATTCTTTACGAGATCAACATTATACTCTGGTCGATGAGGAATAAGTGAATAGAAACGAAGTGCTGCAGCTGGATCATTGGTCAATTTAAGTTCGAGTAGGGCAGCTTCGGCTTCAATGATCTATTTATTAATATGAGACAATATCTATAATTTGAATGTATCAAAATGAATATGTATACTGTTTTAAGATTGATTGATTCAGGTTGTACGCTCAAAATTTTATTTAGATCACCTATTGATTCTAGCCAAATCGATTCGATCAATTGACATACATTCTCATCGAGTATTTGTGTATCGATACGATGGGTAAATAAAGACTACAAATGTATCTTTGTTTTTGGAAAATACTTTCGTTTCTTTAGCATTATTGACTTACACGTAATAATAGTTTGGATCCTAATTTATCCGGTAACATCTCGCGAATTCGTGTTACACGTGGCATTGTAGCTACACGATAATAGTATGATGTAAATAATTGTAGCTGTTCGTTTGGATCATTGCCAAACGCATATTGTATCAAGACTTTTTTATCTTGTTTTTGACTTTCACCAACAATAATCTGTTTTTCATATCGAAATCGTAGTCGATAATCGCTTGTTGTTTGATCGTAGTATGTTTCAGGAATAACTTGGAGTTCAAGAACAAAAAATACATCTGAATTATCATTAGTTTCCTGTTACAAACAGTGGAGTTATAAAAGAACAATTGTTATAGTATATGAATAAAACTGTACTTTAAAAATTGCCCATTTGCCAATTTCACAATGTGTTAATTCATCGAAACGAGGCAAATCAACATCGTCTGAATTCCATATCTTGATTTTAGTCAAATCGACTTTATTAATTTTGGTCGTATTTGCTCGGGATCCTAACAAATAGGGACGCCTAATATGATTTTTCAAAAAAAAAGAAAAAAAAGAAATCTTGTAATACCTGTGACGGAAATAGTACCAGTCTTTGTAAAATTTTCCTGGTCTTCAACTGACTTGATAATAAATTTGCTAATATCAACTGATGTTTGACCAGGTGACAAACGACGACACTCGTACACATATTCAACATTGACTAATGGCAAGCCGAGCTGTTTGGCACGGCGTGTTTTGTAGCTGTCTACATTATTGGTAACCAAAACGTAGTCAGTCTACAAAAAACAGCAGTCAACTTCAACAGAATACTTGTGAAATAGATATAGAACGTACACTAGCTGTAAGAATATATGAAATATGTGCTTTATGTTCTCGTAAATAGTTGATCAATTCTTGTTTAGCCTTGAAGCCTATTTCATGGCCAAGTTCGAGGACGATCGATTTACCGTTAAATGGTGACATAGATCGAGTAGATGTAGTCGTTTGTTTCATTTGAAAGTAATCAATAATTTTCTAATTAGTCTACAAATATATTCATTTTATCGTTTTTATGATGACTAATATTCAATTATCTAGTGTTTGAGAGAAAGAAAAAGCGAAAAAAATGAGTAGACCAATGCTGTTGACTTTTTTCTTTACAATTCTCCACATGTCATATATTTTATGTTATTGCACAAGCCGATGAAAGAGATATATTGTGAAAATGTCGGCAAATCACCAAGCACGACACTAATGCACTTCACTGTGGATATTGTCGCCAATTGTGTAAATGACTCGACTAGATATTTAAACTACTAGATGGCTTACAGAATTGTTATAATGTTCACCATATGATAAGAGGCAAAATAAATCTCTTCAAGCGGTTCAGGGTGTGGATGATGTCGCAGAAAAGATCAATAAGCGCATGCATACCTACACTCGCACTTCCATGAGTACAAGAAAGTGAAAAAATAGTTTTGCAAAAAAAAAGATTTGATTCTCAGTATTGTGAACACAATTCGCTAACACTATTCATCCAACTTCCAATTGCAAGAAAAGACGAAACTATAGCGATTATATAATATTCACTCCTACACTTTTTTTCTTGACAAAAAGAGGGTGTGGATTTGGTTGAGACCAACATCGTTATCACACCCACACGCCGATCACCCGTTTTTACCAGCTATTCTCATAAGTAATCACAACAATAAAAAACGAAAAACGTATCCAAAAATTTGTTGACATATCTCATTTTATATAGCTTGCTTCTCTGATTATTCTTGTAAAAATATTTCTATTTTTATCAACAAATAAAATTGCGGGCGTCAAATCAGCGGAAAACATCAAATTGTCCTGTGATCCTGAGCAACTCGATGTTCCAGTAATTGAACTGTAACACCATTATTTGTAGATCAAAATAGAATTTCCCTTTACAAAAAATGATTAGCATAATAAACTCTATAAAATGGAATATACAAAGATTTTTTCGATACCTATGTATCGTTGCAATTGATTACTCATGGATGTAATCTATCACAAGCTCACTGTAGTCGACTGGATTTTTGAGCGGTTTCTTGTTTAAAAACAGCTGAAAACGTTCTGTGGAGTTTTAAATAATCTAGATAGGCTAAGCAAAAAGTCAAATATTGTAAATAAATTATTTAACCAATTGAAAAAAATTAAGAACATGAGGAACTCGAATAGGGGTGAGAAAGTTAATGTTATTGTTATTAATAACAAAAAAAAATAACAATAACTTTCTCACCTCTAAACTCGAATCATATTAAAAAAACCAAAAATCTATCGTTTATATTTGGCAAAAAGCATTTGGAGCCCTTCACTATTATGAGGAAAGAAAAATTAGCTCATTTGGTTCAAATGTCATGGAGCTATAGAAAATTCTTTTTGCTCAATGACTATCCAGATATAGCAGATAGTGAGAGAAGATCAGACGATGAAAAAAAAGTTCGAAATATAGGTGATTTAGAATAAAAAAGTTTTTGAATATTAAGTGTATGAACAATTTTGATGCGCTATGGAATAAAATCATACTCAAGTTGTATGCACATTTTCGCTTTCGAGAAAACTGATGAACAGGCCGAGAAATTCTACCATCTGTCTGTCTAATGTCCTCTGATTCTCTATAAAAGAAAAACTACAAATACTTTTTACAGAATTAAAGCGCACACGAGACGCTCAACAACAACATGAGCAGAGTCAACAACTTGATTATGGCTATCAACAACAGCAAGAAAAATCAGCATAAGAATTAAAAACTTACTAATGCCCATTTAGAAAAAAGTCAAGTGGACATTTTTGGAATAACTTTTGAACAGATTGAACTAGAGAGTTGCAGTTTTAACCATTGGAAAGAGGAGATAAAGACGCATCGAACCATAGATGAAAACATTTTTCTAACTACTTTCGTAACAGTTTTATATAAAACTTCTAGAAAAGCAGCATGCGTGTCATAGTCGCAATATTAATTTATTGGTTTTCAGGAGTGTGTTAGAACCACCAGATGAAGAGCTACAAAACTATATAAAAATTCTATTCCTAGCCACTACCAGCAAGATATACTAACTATTGGATTGTAATTTATTACTCAATTTTTTCCACAAAATAATCGAAAAATTTAAGTTTTTGTAGTATTTTTGACGAAAAATCACCTTTTTTAACGTATGAAAAAAAGCAATTTTTTGAGAACGTTTGACTAAAACTGTTAGGAACGTAGTTAGAAAAATTTTTTCATCTATGGTTCGATGAGTCTTTATTTTCTCTTTCTAATGGTCAAAACCTCAATTCTCTAGCTAAATCTATTCAAAAGTTATTCAAAAAAATACTCACCCGCCTTTTTTTTTTGAAACAGGCGTTAGTAAGCTGTGTTTCTTCATCACTAAAACTTTTTCTTTTGGATGCATGTGCAATTTTTCATGCTGTAGATACAAACATCAAATGATTTGTTTTTGGACTTTTTCGCTTTCTATATTCCATAATCGTATGAATAATAATAAAAATGTCAATATACTTACTTTTTGAAACTATTGAAATATTCTTGCACCAAATATTTCTCATTACGATAAATTAAATGAGTGTAATATTACACGAACAATAGGTTTGCTGTCTTTAATAGTTATCAATATCATATTGAAATACGAGTTGTGGATGAATACTTGAACAATTGTCTATAATGTTATGACATTTAAATTGACAAATCAAAGGCGTCTTTTCTTATTTGATCACTATGACAGAAATATCTGTAAAAGTGTTATTATATCTAATAAAGCTTGCCAAAAGCAGTTCTAAAGAACTAATCTATTATTTTTTGGAAAATTCGAATGAAACTATTAGAAAATTTACTGAAGACTTATATTTCCAATATTATGCTGTTTTTTTAGTCATAACTTCTAATCTAAATGAAAACCATCAGTTTTTATTTTGGAATCGTTGTAACATATATCTCTATTGACATGAAGAGTAATATTCATGAAATGAAATTATGTGTTAAAAAAACCTTTAACTAGTTTAGATTAGAAAAAGCACAATGAGTTTCTAATGTCGTTGAAGACGAAACTGCAAGAATTTTATTTTTTTAGTTTTCTTTTTATTTTTTTTTATTTCAAATAATGTAATATTTCAATGTCTATGTATATCAGACATCATGATGCTTTTCTTGTTTTTTGATCTATTGGTATAATAAAAAAAGAAATATATTAATATCATTTTGTAGTTGTTATTTGATATCAATAAGATTCATTTAAATAGATGATGATGTTTGATACACACAGGCATTGAAATATTACATCATTTGAAAACAAAAAGTAATCAAAATAAAATTCTTGCCTTATAGTCTTCATTCGCATCAGAAACTCATTGATATTTTAGCAAACCAATATAGAGATTTTTCTCTGATACATAATTAGATTAGAAAAGCTTCTACTGCTATTTTTATTCTGTATTTCAATGATTTCAACTGCATATTATTTTCTTAGGTCAGTAACAAAAAAGACAAGAGTTGTGAAATATAGGAAGTAGACATACATATATTCAAATCTTTTCTTTTCGTTTTTTAATGCATAATACTAACCTGAAGTTTTGAAATAACATTTAGTTGAAATTTAAAAGTAAAGAGATAAGTTTTGTTTTATGTCATTCAATGTTCATTTTAATCATATACTTCGCAGTCATTGGTGTAATATATCCATATACAACGCTGAGTAGGAATGAAAGTCCTGTGTCTTTAAAATGAACTTGCACCCACTATCTTGGTATTCTTTTCGTCAGCATATTCAAAATAATTAAAAAAAACATTATAAGAAAAAAGCAGAAGCAAGCAATGATTCCAATGTCTAGTAAGACCCGAAACCAGCCACTTTTTCATGGCTAGGCCAAGCCCAGAATGTCCTAGAAAAGCGTTAGGCCTGCCCGGTCCGACCGATCTTGCTTTTATGTAATTTCTACTCTCAATAAAATTTGTAGTTCATTACGGCTATTGCCGATATAGTTCCGAGCACATATCCAGTATTATTTTGAGTAGGGTGTGAGTGTGGATGTGAGTGAAGAGAAGATAAAGGCCTACACCCACACCCAAAGTAGCTGCCTATGTAAAGGTAACTTCCCATCCCTAACCAATACCAGTTTGACCAAATCTAATTCCAGTTGTAATCAGGCCGAACAATCCTAGGAATTAGAATTAGTCGAAATTGACGGTGTGAGTACCTATGAGGATTGAGATTATGTGTTTATTCGGTTGAGAGAATGTTTGTTAGAAGCATCATCCATTGATAGTAATGTGGCGAAAGTGCAACAGATATAATCTTGGTACTGTATTATCATTGAACAGCACGTGAATAGAACAAACTGTTGACATGAGTATTCAAAGAAATGCTGCAATGAAACATGAGACTAATCCGCGAGAAATTGAAAAATAGATAAAGCGACATTTAAGTGCTATTTTGTTATTATATTAAGCTTTGTTGATGGCTTTTGCCTCCCGATTCATACTCTTGCTCGCTGTCTTTTTTTCAGACTAACAGTCGAAGTCATTTAGGATCGAATGATCGCCATTCTCTTAAATCAAAATTGGCTGCTCTCATTCAACAGTTGGATGCACAGCAAGATCAAATAGATGCACTCATTAGACGCTCAATGCAATCTCATGCTATCTGTCTAGGTCAAATGCCAGCAAGTGAATTTTACCCTTATCAAACTAGCATCGGCATTTTTGCTCAAGTCAATACTACACAGTATCAATTCCATATGACGCCTATTTATCTGACAAGTTTGGGTGGAATCAATTCAATCTGATATGTTGGTGGTGCAACATCGTTTTTATAACGTAAGTATTATCGGATTTCGAGTCTATCTTACTCCTGCAGACAATATTCAGACATCCACAAACTTGTTGGCCTACGCAATCCAAAAAACAGTGGGTCCTCAACTGGGTTGGAATTGAAGAATCTTTCATCTCTGTTCAGCTCTCTTAAGATGCCAATAAAAGTGACTTGACAGCA